AACGATCAGATGCACACTATTTAGAAGCTTAAGGTCAACACTCATGTCATACTATACTAAAATTAATATTTCTATCAATCTAGAATATTCAATATTAGTATAGAATAAGTCTATCGAATGTGTGTTCAAATTTAAAGTTAAATCAATATCTAGCTTAAAACAAAGATTTTTTTTCTAAGTTATAAGTTTTATTGAAACAAAAACAAATTCTTCCCTTTCTAATTTTGATCGTATTCGTAACAAAAAACACAAAAACTGTACTATTTCCTACAAATAAAAGATAATATCAATAACTTCAAGTACATACATCTTAAGTATATCTCGTATTGTAGTAACAAATTCTAAAAGAGATGCAAGTCTTTTTTTAGAAAGTAACATTATGGGTGTGGGTGTGGGTGTGAGTGTATGTTCAATCTATAACCACACCCACTCCCACATACACCCTCGATAAGTATGGTGCCCTTGAGCACCAAGTACATTATATTGAACAATCAAAATCGTCAGTTCTTAGATGAAATAAAGAATATCTCAACATGAGATAAATAAAAGAAGAAGTTAATTCAATTTTTAATCTTATTATATACAAAAGATTTATTGTATACTCTTTCAATGTCGACTTGATTCTTAAAGAGAATCAACTTCATGATTTTTATTAGTTCATAAGATCAGATATATTCAGATCAAATTAAAGCTTTTACTTGCAAACTAACAAATTTAAAATATAGACTACTATTGACATGTCTAGACTGCGATATTCAAATTTTAAGCTATTCACAATATGTGTAACGTACTCAATAATTAAAATTTCAGGAGATTTTTTTCGTTATTTTTGGATAGAACTTGTCGAGTTGCATGAGAAAAAATATCTTACAGAAAAGTTTAAGATACCATTATTTTTTAGGGAAACGCAGTTACCGTCACATTACCATGGTAATGTGACAGTAACTGCCTTTTTCTACATATGTTCGGCCTTCGTTGATTCATTTGTACAATTCAACATCGGCAATGAATTCTAAAAAACACACTTCAGATTTCGGGTGTGAGTGAGAATATGACTAAATAGAAGACACGTACCCACATCCATCATTCAAAATTTGTCATTTTCTTTTTGACAAGTCAAATTTCATAACTAAAAATGATTTATTTAGCTATTTTTCGTCTTACTTCTAGGCATCGAAATCGATTTGTATCGGCTAATAAATATATCTTATGCCTTTTCTTAGTAACTCTATGCCCAATTTAGAAACATTATGCTTTTGGAGATTAGATGATTTTTCTTCGATATCTAGTAAGTGAATGTTAAATGAAAAATTAATTAGAACAAATTATTTAAATCTTATTCATGAAGCTTTGAAAAAAAGAAGATATATAATTCTTACAAATTTTTATTTGAAAACATCGATCAATTTTGCATCAGTTTTGTTTACGTATTACCGTTGTTTTGCTCATTCATTTTTAATTGAGATTATCATTATACAGTAGATAAAATAGCTGGCCATCGAATGGATTTCAAATGTAGTTCAGCTAAATATCGTCGTTGAGTTCTCTAATCTTTGGTCATAATTAAATAAAGAACAAAACAGATGTCGTAGAGTAGTGCCTTTTTTGTCTTGTTTTTTCTAGAAAAGCGAGAAGGTCAAAAAAAGAAAACGAATTTCAACAAATGTATGTGATCATTATTTGGTTTTTTGCTTCGTTGATTCCTTAGATGGATTTATCAAAGGATAAATAAAGTTTTTGTTGAACACAATAAAAATCTAATGTTCTGAAATAAATCTCTAGAAAGTCTTCTTAACCTTTTAATTAGAGTGATTTTTATCAAACAGGAAATCCATTTTATAATCGATTGGGTTTAAATAAACAAATTTATATGAAAAATCTTCTAATTGAAGCAATAGCATAATCAAATGAATTCATTTTATTGAAATTTTTCTTGGTTTCTCAAAGTTAAATGCAATCGGTATTGAATATAGACTTGTTCACTGACAAGATCCAGTCTCGTATATATTATTCAAAAATATTTTTGTGAAGGATCAAATGAATGCATGCAATCAAATGAAAAACAAAATGATTGTTAAAGGCATATTTTATATGTTATGGAACGTTCGACAGAAATGATATAGGTATTGTTCTTGTGAAGCATTTTTTTCATATTAGAGAATATGTGATGTTGATTAACTAAATATTAAAGTTTTTAAATTTTAAAGAAGGTTATTCAACTACTTTGCTCCCTGTTGGGACATTTTCGACCCATTCAAGAAACTATCTATTTGGAATATTAAAGCATTGAATCGATATGATGATTTCAGAACATTGTGCAAAGTTTTTAATCAGTTACAAATTCGAAAAAAATTAAACTTCTTTTCATCATTCCTTAGTTAAGATATATGGGTTGAAAAACCGTATTTTCTCAAGAAAATAAAAAGAATCTGTTTTATTTAGTCACATAGACTGATTATTCTGATGTTTATGGGGCTAGTGCATAATTAATACTATGAACATAATCTATTTGCAGGATAGTTTTTAAAAATTTCTTAATTATAGATATAAAAGCAATGTTTTTCATGATAATTTGGGTCATGTTTTATCCATTCATAATGAGTAACATAAAAAATGATTTTTCCAGAGTTATGCTATCTTCAATACAAACTCATAAAATAAAACGATTTTCATGATAAACACTTTATTAGAACGATAAAAGATAGAAACTTGTAGCCTCTGTTATGGTCTTCCTTCTCGATGAGATTTTGACAACAGGAATGAGTGATTTTGAATTGGAATCAGAATCAATGATTCTATATTATATAGAGAACCTCATCATATATCATCCTCTGAAATGACTCATTTTTCAAAAAATAATGCATGATAAGTTTTCAACCCTATACAAATAAAATAGTAGTATAACTGCGAAAATGTCAATTTAACAATAAATTCATTTTTTGTGTCATTCAAAATGAATGAATCATTGTAAATCCATTCTGCATCTCCATAGTGAAATGATTTGGCCTAAATTTAACTACACCAATGTCATAATTAGCATTTGTAAAAACTATTCCAATGAGTACTGGAAGTAAAGGATTAAGCAAGATTTAGTATCACGGTACAATAACATTTCATTTTCAAATCATGTCATATGTTTCGACTGAACTTCAAAAACCGATTGGTTGTTATCGGTTTTTTTTATCAATTTTAAGGTTACTGAAGATAGTCTATTTTACTTTTTATCAAAATCTTAGCTCTAAGTTTTGAACTCACTCTTTATCATAGTACAATAGTGATCACAGATCAGGATGAATGTATTAATTATGGTCACAAAAAATTAGCTAGTCATTAGATGGTTTAAAATTTCAAGCTCACTTTCTGAAGTACGTTTAACTGACTATTAAAAACTCCTGACTTTTCAATGCAAAAAGATTAGAAAAGAATCTGTTCCACTGAGATAATTATGCGAACCATTAGCATGATGCAACTGTGAAACTATCTAGATATTAGGAAATCTAAAAATATAAAGCATAGTATAAAATCGAACTTTATAGATCATTTTATGATATTATGAAGAGTAGTATTCTATCACGAATTAAGAAGTCTTTCAATTATGTTAAGCAATAATTTCAAATAAGACCTTAGATCAAATTTGTCAATCCTTGAGAGTTACTATATGACAAGCTTTAAAAGAATTCTTTCATTGTTCTTAGGATTAGAGTATATGGAACGTGAAAGACTGAAATACAACTTGTTACTATTAGAAATTTTAAGGGTTATATGACTTTCAAGTTGTGTATATTTGTAGAACTTCAATAACAGACTTTTTTGAAAGAACTAGTTGATTAATTATTATGTTAAAAAGTTGTTTCAATTTAAAATTATACTGACGATTCTTTATATTACAGTTTGTTTGACACTGCATCGAAAAATTTATTTCATCTGAAGACTTACTAACGGACTACTATTGAATCTGATTGTAAATGAAAACTTGTACCTTGATTCTTGATCATCGAAATTCAAATTTGTATTCTTTTCTATTGTTTAATTAGCTGTTATTCATCATTTTGGCAAAGCTCTCGATGAAAGTTATAGTTCATGTAAAAGAAAATAATCTTAGATAGACTTGCTTGTTATCCGTCATCTGATTATTATTTGAAAATGAATAATTCATCTGATTTGTTTCCTTTAAATTTTTTAATTAAAATCTATCATTAATATATCTTTATAGATGAATTAACAAAGCATAATTCATCAAAACATAAAGCCTCAACACATACTCGACATATTCATTTTGATACAATTATTTTCTGGTTATCATGATTGTTTTTGACTATAAATACTATCTAGATCAACGACACAAATTTTAATACCTTCTTCAACAGCAAATAATGAAACTATCGCAATTGCTGATAAAAATATTAATGTTTCATCTATCTATTTTAAAGAAAAAAAAAAGCATGTGCACCATCCGATTCACAATTAAGTACAAGCGAGTGACCTATGATTGAAGTGAAAAAACAACAAACTTAAAAATAAAATTGCACCCTTTTTTTCTCTATTATTGTTGTATATTCAATGTGAAAAGAAGATATGTTCATAAGATTGAAGAATGACAAAAGACTAAAAATTTAAATGTTTTAATTTTCGATTGCATATAAATATTTCAGAAGAATTGAATGCAAAATTTTTATTTTATACTCGTAATTAATGTTGTAAATAAGAGAAGACTCATTCGTAGAGTAAAATAAAAATCGTTCTTTAATATCTTGTCAGTTTCGTGATTTTACATTCATTCTTCTTCGAATTTAAATATTCAAAAATTTTTCTTTCTTACTATGTAAACTATAAACGAGAGTTATAAGAACTTTACTAGGACATTTGAGAATGAGTATTTATTCTAAATATAAATATTTAACCTTACGAAAGAATATTTACAAATAAGACATTGAAAACTTTTATACAAATTATTCTTCATATTATATTCTACGTAGAAGTATCTTCAATATCTTGTCAAATGTTTATTCATTTTCATGGACGTTGTTTTGTAAATTGTCTTATTCAACGATCACTGTCAATAGTTACTAGCAACTCTATAGTACCTTCATCATTCATACTCATTTGTATCGTAGGCAGTGATCCATCTAATTATTTACTTACACTTCGTCACACAATGCCAGCAACAATTGATATTATTGAAAAATCACCATTTTTTTATCTTGTTCGAGATGATGATGTTGTATCTGATCATTTTGAAGTAAAAAATGTTCTACATATATTTACAAAAATAGTTGAACATGAGCATATGAAAGGACTACAAGAATTTTATTTTAATATTTGCTTATAGTTCATCTGTTAAACGTAATTAAAATATTGCTGATGAGATAACATCAGAAAACGTTTTTTCTACTAAAGATTTTTCGTGAATGATACAATGGCAAAATGAAAACAAAACAAAATAATTTTTAAGTCAGTATAAAAAAAGAAAAACAATTTCAAATAGGTGTATCAGAAAATATTCAACTTCAATCATAACTTGATTGAACTCAAAATACATGTTTTCATCTATTGATGATTTAGCTAAAACACATGTTACTGATGTTGTAGTACTTGATGCACTTCGTCAAAGTCGAATACGACATGTGATACTTGTTAGTCAACGTGAACGAATGCAAGTATCATTTACTTATAAAAGAACTTTGTGAACTTACTAAATTAACTCGCTTACAATCAATGTTAAACAAAGAAGATTTTAATCGAAGTGATCAAAATATGATTGGTAAATTAGAACGACTAAGAAAAAGATTAACCGAATTCACGTTTATTTAAAATAGTTCGAACAAGTTTGTATTTTTGAAATTTATGATTATTTTATCTAGAATAATCAAAAGATAATGGTGAACAATTTTTCGTATTTATAATTTTCGTCCCGTCAAAAACAATCGTTGAAAATATTAATTTTGAACATACAGAACCTGTAGCTAGTTGTGATTTTTCTGATGAAAATCTATCCGTCTAACAGAATGGAATTAAAGAAACAAAACCATGTGGTCTTGTCATTAAAACTATAGATTATTATGATATAATCCGCCTCTATACTACATAGTCCTGGATAAATTATTTAGGACTAGGATGCTGTCTCATTCGTTGAATACCGCACTTACTACGATGTTCCATTTATCTTTGTAGTGTTTTCTCGACATGTTGTTGGTGTTTATATAGGAACTTCTAATTGATGCTTTCTATATCAATTGATCATAGGCTGACCAATTTCGAATAGTCTGACGAAAAATCAATACGTTCAACATCATTAATTAATATTCCACACTTATGACATTGGTCACTACGAACATCAACAAATTTGTATGTTGCATCTGTGCATGTACCAGCTACATAATGATCTGCCCGAAAACTTCAAATACATGAATATATAAAAAAAAATTAGAACAAAATATGTCAGCAAGTTCTGTACCGTTGACAATTATCACAATATAATTATTCAATGTTATCCTTGAAACTGTCTATAAATTTTTTAATGTAAATCAAAATATCTATTGCAAGTTTCTCGTGGTATATATTTCGGTTCCAACAATGCTTTTATTCCAGTTGCTGTACTATATTCGTCAGTACCATAAATACATAGTATTGTAATTTTTCAACTGACAATACCTTAAATTTAGCATTAACAATGAAAAGATGAATAAGGAATTGTTTGATTTTACCACACAAGAAAACATCAGCATTTAATAAAGCTCCAGTAAGAATATTCAAATGAGGTACATTATTGACGTAACGCAAAGCAGTTACCATCATAATATTTCGAATATCAGGTTTTAGCGTTTCATAAACAAAAAATATAATAATAATGCTGCTAGTGAATTTTGTGCGAGATTAAATTATGAAATATGTTGCAGTAGCTGTTGCTAATGATAAGGAAATTATTTTATTCTGTCTAATTCAGAAGAGACTTCTTCACCATTCATTTACTTGATGCTCCAGAAATGCAATCAGGAAGTAGTTAACTAGACGATATTGAGACACGACCTTCGACCGTATATCAACAAAACCTGTCATTGTCTCTGATACAACAGAGAGATGTGCAACTAAAAGGGTTCTTCATCAGGATTAATAGGCTCAAAGACCTCAACGAAACCAATTGAATGAGGATCTGCGGAAGATCAAGACGTCCAAAACCATATTTCTTGTATCTATTCGAAGGTTTTGAAGAATATTTTTATTGAATAGAGCAAAATGACACGTCTCCAAACTCTCCATGAACTTTCTTCATCGAGTTGCTTTTCGAGCTCTTCGTAGATCAAAAACAAGTCTATGAAAGGAGTGCATGAAAAGTTCAGTGACGCCCTATTTTCCTCTATAAAATAAAATTTTTTTTCGAAGGTCTTAATATAAGTAGTTCTGTTGGAATCTTTGGATCTGCTACTGCTTATAGAGAATTGTTTCAGTTATACAAGTGTTTTATATTTCAACATTCATTTCAGACCATGTTTCACAAAAACACAATATCAGATACAATAGATGAATTATTTCTTATATGTTTTTCATTCGATTTTGATTTATTGAGTATTGATAGTGTCTTTGATCATTGATTCAAAGCTTTCTCAACTTCTTCTGATGATCGATTAAAATCGATTTCTTCAACGGATGTTTCTACAGTAGTCTAAATTTTTTCATATACAATAAAAGATGAGTCATTCATTTGTCATAAAAATGCATTGTTTTCTTCTTTCAATTATCAGTTCTTATTTTGCATCACATCTGATCATTTCACAAAGAAAAAAAAATACTACGAACAAAAATGGTATTCCAGAAGATTATTCCGAAAAGTAGATTAATCATCGACAAGAAACAAAAAAGGATAATAACATATGAATTTTCGTGTTTTGAGAAAACAAAGATAGTCATTTCTTTATCAGTTTATACATTCATTGTAAAAGTACAGAAATCAAATGAAAGAATTAAAGGTAATTTTCAACGAACTTACGTTTTTGAATGGATTGTATAAATGACGACGAATCCTAATGATGAACAGTTTCGTAAATGGATCCTAATGAGAAAGAGATAAATGAAGTCGAAATTGAAAAAATATTGTTAAATTTTTTTGGCAAATAGATCATATCAATCAAAATAGAGCGAATAAAAATTCAACTTGAAACAACAATATGTTTTTCGAGTAAGATGATGTTCATTCAATGAGTAATAGAAAAGTTTAGAATGGTTTTGCTTTCGGGGCTTTCATTATTTTTCAATGGAAACCTGTAGTCCTACTCAGGTCACATGAAAAATCGACTTTCGAATTCAAATTTTGCATGAACATGAAATTAGTTCTTTGGACATGTTGTAACTTTCTAGTTCTTTTTTTCCTATTCTGAGATATTGAATATTCGATATTTTCCATATTAACAAATCTCGTTAAGAATTTTGTTTGCGTAAAGCTTAAAGTCGAAATTCTATTTTCTAGATGATTTGAGGCGGACTACATGTTTATATGCTGAAAGATTCAGTAAAATTTCGATATGTGGAGAACGAAGATTCGGAATAACAATACTTCGACAGTCAAAATTTTCTTATTCTCATCTGATGTTTGTCCTTCGATAGATAGAAAAGTTCCTGATAAGATTTTATTTAAAAATTGATCTTGTCTTTTTAATATCTAAAGTAAAAAGTAAGAAAAATTTTGATGACGTCTTGAATAATGTTCGGTGATCCACGTTATCGAAGAATTATATTGAACATCGAATTATATACTGCTTTTGCAGATTGCAACTGTCCAAAATGAGGAAAACAGCTTCGCGATGGCACGTAACTTGAAGCGTTTTATCTTCGTGAGCAACCATAGATCAGGATCACTAAATTCATATTTTAGAAAACTAAAATTTGTCAAAATCAGAACCTCTACTGTAAAGGCTTACAACAAATTGATCCTTCCTGTTTTAGATATTTAATAGAGAAAATAGTGAATTTCGAAAATACAGTTTATTAGAATTTCAGGTCATTTTGTTTTGAAAATCTGTACTCATGAGTTATTTCTAATTCAAACTTTCTATAATATAAGCAGATGTTTGAAATAACCCCAAGCTAAAATCAATACAAAACTTTCATGTGGCTCATTTTTTCTTTTATTTTAGCTAAAAGTTATTCAACTCAAAACCTAACTTTATATCATGAAGTTAGTTCTACAGAATCCTTTATCTAATTACATATTCACATAGCAGAAAAAAAAGACTGAAATTCTATGGCACGATAAATTTACACAAATTATGAATGACGAAAATACTGATTTTGTTCTGTACAAACATCAATTAATTCAAGTTTAACTCAGCAATACATAAAGGAATAATTAGTATCAAGGCTTTTGTACTCTATGTTATCTTGATAGCTTTAGAGATGATTATAGAATTCTACACAATTGTATGAATTGTTCATCTATTACATTTTCATTCGGGCTTCAATACAGTTAGTTTTGAATTACTTTAAAAGTAATTCAGTAGAAGTCGCTTTTACTTTCCTCGTAGCTACGCCCATTGAACCAAAGAATAGTTCTTATTTTGTTCGTTTTTCCCATGATTTAATATATCACTACAGTCACAACAAAAAAACAAATTAGTCAGAATATTTGGTCACCATGCTATCTCATAAGCTGAATAAAATAAGCTTGAGATATTAATTATTCGAAATGTAATCAATATTAATAGATAGACAACAAGAAAGAATAAATAATATATTTGAAAGTTTTGACTTGATGATAAACGTATTCGTCATTTAATAATTGTCAATCCAGCTGGGATAAATAATCCTTCTATTGAAGCACTAGTCTTTATGAGCACACGCATTTCCGATTTCTTTCATTTGTTTAATGAGTCGGAATTTTCTGAATGTATTAGTTTAATTATGAGAAATTCTCATTTAAAATACTTACTTGTCTTCATAATAAACTCATTTGTTTACTTGAATCGAAACTATTCGACCATTCATCTTCTAATAAATGAATTGGACAATTAATGTTTTTTTTGTTAAATGTTTATCAGGTTCTGGATTGAATAAAAAAGCTCCACTTACTCGTTTCTTTGCTTTATGAAGACCACTAAAATTTAGTCAAATATAGACATATTTATTCAATGTTAATTAATTTAAAAAAAAAGGAAAATTTTCAAAACGTTTATATGCTAAATCTAATAAATTTAGACAACTAGTTGAACGTCAATCTGAATCAATGTCTGAATTTTCAAGTGACGTTTGAATACGTGAAGACTAAAATAAAAATTGTACACTATGAGAATCGCTTTAGCTAACTGATAAAGTATATAGATTTTCTTATTTCCATGATGATGAGTACTATTCGATAATGTTGAAATCGATGATAATGAAGATATGTGTATGACCATCAATTGAACAAAGTATTCCAAATTGTTCAATTTCTTGAATTAGAGAAATTCTATTTAAATAAAAATAGAGATTGTGTCAGTGCAGCTCGTTGAGGACTATAATGTAGAACTCACATGTGTTCTTTAGTCTCAT